CATACATAAATATATTATTATTATTATTATTTTCTTATTAGGTGCCTAAATCTATGATTAATAACATATATACAGGGTGCTTTGAAATCTCATAAAGATTCAAATCATTGCTAATTTTTATTTTGTAATTGTGATTTTTAGACTATCAAGTTGAAAAATTAAAGGAGTAATCAAATTGTGATTTTAAAAAAATGTTAAAAATACATATCAAATTGTAATTTTCTGAGGTATTTGATGTATTTGTGACTTCTAAGGCTTGTAGTCTTCTACAGTCTTTGAGTGGAGATCCTATCAACTATTTGCTTTCATTGAGTCTTTATAGTGACGATCATGTACATTGCTACCTTTTCAACGAGACATGTCTCCTAGGTCGTCTTTCTATGGGCATGGTAATTTTTCATCAAGACTTGTCTCACGGGCTTGTTTTCTTGAGAAACTGTATCTTCCCATTGAGTATTGACTCGTGGATTTGACTTCTTGGGGTATGGTATCTTCGCATGGAGTTTTGTTTCTCGGACTAGACATTTAGGGGTGCGGTATATCCCCATCAATACATGCCTATGAGCTTGTCTTCCAGAGTTATGACATCTTCTCATTGAGTCTTGCCTCTTGGCTCATAGGCTCAACTTTTAAAGAAAAATCATCAACTAGAAAGAAGTTGTGATGCATGAAAACATAATCTAATAAGATTTAAAAATAAGGTTGTCATTATTCATACATGTACATGATTTAAATAAGTTTGAGTGCAGCTAAAATAAAGTTTGTACATGAATCATGTAATGTGGAGCTACATTTGAATGAGATTTGAATATGTTTAATTTAAATATTAATATGTCACAATCAAATCACTCTTCTCATACAAGTGTTTTAATACTTAATACTGACAAACATGGCACCTTTTAAATCCCATCACATACATAAATATATTATTATTATTATTATTTTCTTATTAGGTGCCTAAATCTATGATTAATAACATATATACAGGGTGCTTTGAAATCTCATAAAGATTCAAATCATTGCTAATTTTTATTTTGTAATTGTGATTTTTAGACTATCAAGTTGAAAAATTAAAGGAGTAATCAAATTGTGATTTTAAAAAAATGTTAAAAATACATATCAAATTGTAATTTTCTGAGGTATTTGATGTATTTGTGACTTCTAAGGCTTGTAGTCTTCTACAGTCTTTGAGTGGAGATCCTATCAACTATTTGCTTTCATTGAGTCTTTATAGTGACGATCATGTACATTGCTACCTTTTCAACGAGACATGTCTCCTAGGTCGTCTTTCTATGGGCATGGTAATTTTTCATCAAGACTTGTCTCACGGGCTTGTTTTCTTGAGAAACTGTATCTTCCCATTGAGTATTGACTCGTGGATTTGACTTCTTGGGGTATGGTATCTTCGCATGGAGTTTTGTTTCTCGGACTAGACATTTAGGGGTGCGGTATATCCCCATCAATACATGCCTATGAGCTTGTCTTCCAGAGTTATGACATCTTCTCATTGAGTCTTGCCTCTTGGCTCATAGGCTCAACTTTTAAAGAAAAATCATCAACTAGAAAGAAGTTGTGATGCATGAAAACATAATCTAATAAGATTTAAAAATAAGGTTGTCATTATTCATACATGTACATGATTTAAATAAGTTTGAGTGCAGCTAAAATAAAGTTTGTACATGAATCATGTAATGTGGAGCTACATTTGAATGAGATTTGAATATGTTTAATTTAAATATTAATATGTCACAATCAAATCACTCTTCTCATACAAGTGTTTTAATACTTAATACTGACAAACATGGCACCTTTTAAATCCCATCACATACATAAATATATTATTATTATTATTATTTTCTTATTAGGTGCCTAAATCTATGATTAATAACATATATACAGGGTGCTTTGAAATCTCATAAAGATTCAAATCATTGCTAATTTTTAATTTGTAATTGTAATTTTTAGACTATCAAGTTGAAAAATTAAAGGAGTAATCAAATTGTGATTTTAAAAAATGTTAAAAATACATATCAAATTGTAATTTTCTGAGGTATTTGATGTATTTGTGACTTCTAAGGCTTGTAGTCTTCTACAGTCTTTGAGTGGAGATCCTATCAACTATTTGCTTTCATTGAGTCTTTATAGTGACGATCATGCACATTGCTAGCTTTTCAACGAGACATGTCTCCTAGGTCGTCTTTCTATGGACATGGTAATTTTTCATCAAGACTTGTCTCACGGGCTTGTTTTCTTGGGAAACCGTATCTTCCCATTGAGTATTGACTCGTGGACTTGACTTCTTGGGGTATGGTATATTCGCATGGAGTTTTGTTTCTCGAACTAGACATTTAGGGTGCAGTATATCCCCATCAATACATGCCTATGAGCTTGTCTTCCAGAGTTATGACATCTTCTCATTGAGTCTTGCCTCTTGGCTCATAGGCTCAACTTTTAAAGAAAAATCATCAACTAGAAAAAAGTTGTGATGCATGATAACATAATCTAATAAGATTTAAAAATAAGGTTGTCATTATTCATACATGTACATGATTTAAATAAGTTTGAGTGCAGCTAAAATAAAGTTTGTACATGAATCATGTAATGTGGAGCTACATTTGAATGAGATTTGAATATGTTTAATTTAAATATTAATATGTCACAATCAAATCACTCTTCTCATACAAGTGTTTTAATACTTAATACTGACAAACATGGCACCTTTTAAATCCCATCACATACATAAATATATTATTATTATTATTATTTTCTTATTAGGTGCCTAAATCTATGATTAATAACATATATACAGGGTGCTTTGAAATCTCATAAAGATTCAAATCATTGCTAATTTTTAATTTGTAATTGTAATTTTTAGACTATCAAGTTGAAAAATTAAAGGAGTAATCAAATTGTGATTTTAAAAAATGTTAAAAATACATATCAAATTGTAATTTTCTGAGGTATTTGATGTATTTGTGACTTCTAAGGCTTGTAGTCTTCTGCAGTCTTTGAGTGGAGATCCTATCAACTATTTGCTTTCATTGAGTCTTTATAGTGACGATCATGCACATTGCTAGCTTTTCAACGAGACATGTCTCCTAGGTCGTCTTTCTATGGACATGGTAATTTTTCATCAAGACTTGTCTCACGGGCTTGTTTTCTTGGGAAACCGTATCTTCCCATTGAGTATTGACTCGTGGACTTGACTTCTTGGGGTATGGTATATTCGCATGGAGTTTTGTTTCTCGAACTAGACATTTAGGGTGCAGTATATCCCCATCAATACATGCCTATGAGCTTGTCTTCCAGAGTTATGACATCTTCTCATTGAGTCTTGCCTCTTGGCTCATAGACTTAACTTCTAGAGATATTATATCTTTTCATTTAGAATTGCCTCCTAGGCTCGTCTTCTAAGAGTAAGGTATCTTCCCATAGAGTCTTCTCTCTTGGGCTTGACCTTTTTTAGGTTGTTAGTCGAAGCACGTTCAATCCATGACTGTAGCATACAGTGGAAACAGTTAAGTATAATTCATGTAGGTTGTACGACCTGTCCTAGGTTGTATAGTCAGAGATACTCGACCTCACGATTTAAACGAGAATCCATCACAAGCTCATATGAGAAGAAGATAATCAACAAAGACTCAAAAAAATTTTTGTGGAAAATTCGAAAAGGGAAAAATCGCGAGGCCTTGCCCAGACGAAATGTTTTACTGCAAGTTGGTGATTACACGTACAACCCCTTGCTCCATAATCAAGAAAGTGTTATGTAATTTCTCGGATTACAACGTAATGGCGCAGGATAACTTATTTCCATGCAGTAGGGAGCGGGTGATGCCCGATGATGGTCAACAAGGGCCAGCTGGGGGCGATAGACGACGGTGACCAGAGATGGTTAGAGAAGTTGGTCGGAGTTGGTCAGAGGTGACAACACCAATCGAAGTTGGTTGGAAGCGGTGGTAGCCGAAATCTACAGTAGCAACCGAAGGCAACTACGACAACCGATATTAGTTGGACCTGTTGTGCAGGATGTTGGGCCACAATTCCTTCTTCTACGAGCAATTATTAGGTGCAATGTATATACATGTATATTTCGTTGCATTGGTTGTATCAATACAACTAATATGACAAAAAAATGATGAAATCCCTATGTGCAGAGTCAGCACCTAATAACTCCTCTTCTACAGACTATTATCTTGCTCATGATCAGAGTCTAGGTTTTCTCTCATGAAGGGGTTAGAACTATATTTATAGATTACATGTTGCAAATAAGAAATAAATCAATTTTTTGTCAGACGATCCAACGAAATTCCCTTGATCAGACGACATTCAATGGACATTTCAGTGCCTTAATGATTTTAGAATTGAACGATCTCATGCTCGTTGGATTCATTTTATCGAGACTCGCGATTTGACTACAAACATGTCATATTCATAATTAGTTTGTCGTTCTAAATATGTTTGTCAAGGTTTCAGAAGTAGTTTAACAGCTTGATCTCAATTTGAGACAACTAAGATTAGATTGATTTTGATATAGTTGGGTCCCTCTCGTTAAGTTGATCAATTTGATTATAAGTTTGCTGAAATCAAAATTTTGGATGAACTTTAATCGAAATTTTAATATTTTATGTTCGAAAACTATTTGGAGATATGTGCCATACATCAATATTCTATAAAAATAATTTATTAATGACATATTAAATTTTATTTTGAATTATACTAATTAATAATTAATTTTTTAATAATCTATTTATTCATTAAAATTTTTAGTGAACTAATGCTTTATTAGAAAATTATTTAACTTTAATTAATTATTAATTATATTAATTAGCAATATGTTTTAAATTGATTATCTATTGAATAATTTAAATTTTAAAAGATGTATTTTTATTAAATAATAATTAAAAAGCACATCTAAGTTTATGTAATCATAATTAATTTGATATTTTATTAAATAAAATTAACTTAAATTAAACTTAAATTAAAGCAATAATCCCATCCCCTCTTCTCCTCTCCCCGAAACCCTCGCCAACACCGCTCCCCTTCTCCCACTTTCGCCCAAACGCCTTCCATTCTCTTTACCAAAACCGTCGCCTTCGTGACCTAATCCTCGCAATACAGTATCCATTAGAGCTAACTGGGAAGCAAAACCTGCCGCTTGAATAAGCCAGAGGGGGTGGAATCATGGGGCGGCGGATTGTTGATTCTGAAACTGAAGCTTTGATGGGGGTGAGTTCAAAAGGGGAGCTTAAGCGCAAGCAGAAGCAACTAAAGAAGGCCAAGTCCGGGGGATTTGAATCGTTAGGACTCTGTCCCGAGGTTTACCGGGGGGTTAAGCGCAAGGGCTACCGCGTGCCGACCCCGATTCAGCGCAAGACGATGCCTCTGATCCTCGCAGGTGCCGATGTGGTCGCCATGGCGCGTACAGGTTCAGGAAAGACGGCTGCTTTCCTCGTCCCCATGCTTCAGCGCCTGCGCCATCATGTACCTCAAGCAGGCATTCGCGCTCTCATACTCTCTCCAACCAGAGACCTTGCCATTCAGACTTTAAAATTCACCAAGGAGCTTGGAAGATATACTGGTCAGAGTTTCCTCTCTCCCATTCTCATTTCCCTTGTTCAAATTTGTTTTTCCTTTCTGTTTTTCCCTTTATAATTGAGCAAATTTGTTCTGTTTGCTACATTGGGATCAATGAAATTATTGCAGATCTTCGCACTTGTTTGCTAGTTGGTGGAGACAGTATGGAAAACCAATTTGAGACATTAACGCAAAGTCCAGATATTATAATTGCAACTCCGGGACGGCTCATGCATCATCTATCTGAGGTGGAGGGGATGACTTTACGATCAGTAGAATATGTAGTATTTGATGAAGCTGATTCGCTCTTTGATATGGGATTTTCTGAACAACTACACAAAATATTGCTGCAATTAAGCGACACCCGTCAAACTTTACTTTTCAGCGCTACATTGCCTAGTGCACTTGCAGATTTTGCCAAGGCTGGCTTGCGCGAGCCTCACCTTGTCCGACTCGATGTGGAGTCTCGAATCAGTCCTGATCTCAAGACCAATTTTTTCACATTACGGAACGAAGAAAAGATTGCTGCTTTATTGTATCTAGTGAGGGAAGTGATAAGTTCTGATCAACAAACATTGATTTTCGTTTCAACAAAGCACCATGTGGAGTTTCTAAATTCTCTATTTAGAGAAGAGGGCATTGAGCCTTCTGTTTCATATGGTGATATGGATCAGGATGCACGAAAGATTCATATTTCCAAATTCAGGGCGAGGAAGACGATGATGCTCATTGTGACCGATGTTGCAGCCAGGGGACTTGACATCCCCTTACTCGATAATGTAGTGAACTGGGATTTTCCTCCAAAGCCTAAAATTTTTGTTCATAGAGTGGGCCGTGCAGCTCGAGCAGGAAGAACAGGCACTGCTTACTCTTTCGTCACACCAGATGATATGCCTTACCTGTTAGACCTTCATCTCTTTCTTTCAAAGCCTCTTAGAGCGGCTCCAACGGAGGATGAGGTTATTCGTGATATGGATGGGGTTTATTCAAAGCTCGATCGAGCAATTGCCAATGGAGAAACAGTTTACGGTCGATTTCCGCAGACAATTTTGGATCTTGCTTCTGATAGGATGAAAGAGATTATTGACGGGTCTGCGGAACTTATAGCTTTGCAGAAATCTTGCTCTAATGCATTTCGTTTGTATTCGAAGACAAAACCGTTACCTTCGAAAGAATCCATTAGGAGGGCAAAGGATTTAAGTCATGAAGGTCTTCACCCAATTTTTAAGGATGTATTGGGATCCAATGAACTGGTAGCTTGTGCTTTTTCTGAGCGTTTGAAAGCATACAGGTTAATGTTTTTTTAGATGAAAATAATTTTTTTTTCATTTATACATCTTTCTCTTAGTTATGCACTTTTCTGCAATAACTTTTTTTTTTCATTTGAGATTAGTTTTTTTTTTTCATTTGAGATTAGTCATTTGAGATTAGTTACTATTTTGGAAGATTTACATACATACCACTCAATTCCTATGTATTCACATGTCTAACAGCCAAACTTAATTTTTACATACAGTCTTGCCTATGCATGAAGATATGCATTTAACTTTTTAAAAGTTAAAATGGTGCTATTTTTTTGTGATATGAAACCTTTGGGTGGTGTGAATGTAAGCAAGTAAATTTTAGGTCTGGTATTTTTTTTGTGATATGAAAGATTTGGGTGGTGTCAATGTAAGCAAGTAAATTTTAGGTGTTAGATATGTAAATTAGATATGTAATTACATGGGAATTGGGTAGTATGTATGTAAATGACCCTTTTCATTTATACATTATGACTCTTTTAGTTGCATGCTTATCTGCCACCTCTTTTTATTTTTCATATGAAATTAGTTACTATTTTTTATGCTCTGAACTAATCTATCTTCTGAACAAATGATTTTCATATGAAATTAGTTACTATTTTTTATGCTCTGCAATCTGCATCAAGGCTTATAACTAATCTATCTTCTGAACAAATGATTTCAATCCAGACCAAAGAAAACCATTTTAGAGGCAGAAGCAGAAGCTGTCAAATCAAAAAACTTACAGGTACTAGTAAATAGTTTGTTTATCTTTACTAAATTGTTTCTTTATTCAGCAGTGACTTCTGTAAACACTTTCAAATTGCTCCAAAACACAATTCTCAAGTTCTATTCTCGCACATTCTTATTGTTTATAATTCCATACCAAATTGGATCATAAAATATTATATCTGAAAATCTACATTGACTAGAGATTTGATTTGAACTATTTATTGTTATTTTGATTCGTCGCTACAAGAATTCTATGGCTTGATTGGGGATTTGATGTTGCTACTATTAAGAATTACTTTTGGTGGTTTAGTAAAAAAGTTTGGTTCATAAACCTCAGAATGAGAATTTCACTCTTATTTATATTATTCATGCAATTAACTTATGCTATGGTTGCTAATGCGCTGAGTTATCCCACTTAACCTGCACCTTTACTTTTAACTGTAGTTGCTCATAGATGAATAGATATGTATAATGTTGTCCATGGGGAATGTTACTATTGCCTATTCTATCTTTTACTTATTTCTCATTCTATTTTTTGGATTCTTTTGGTTCCTTATTTTAGCTTTTGTGCAATACAACTTGCTTGTTTAGACGATTCTTATTGCTAACATGGCGATCTTACTTATGCATCTGTTGTACGAAAGCATGCTATTATTGCGAGGAATTTTTATAAATTTTTTATCGCTTAATAATCCTCATCATAAATTTTTTTTAATTTATCTCAGAGTTCCAATCAATTGCTTGACATAATGAGGAAAAAAAGAGCTGTTCATGAAGAGGTGATCAATCTAGTGCAACAGAAAAGGATTATTGCTGCAGCACCCAAGGTAAAACTCTGGTTCAGTAAATATTGATTAGCTATATTATTATTATTATTATTATTATTTTTGGATTGATTCCTCAACGACTCTTTAATTTAGTCTTAACGGGCACTTACATACATACCACCCAAATCCCATGTATTTACATATCTAACAACTAAACTTTGTTGCTTACATTTATAACACCCAAAATTTTCATATCACACCATTTTAAGTTTTTAAAAAGTGAAATACACCTTTTCATGCATATGGTGACAAATTATGTAAAAATTGAAGTTTAGGTTTTAGGTATGTAAATACATAAGAATTGAGTAGAATGTATGCAAATATTCCTTGGATAATAATGTTGTTGACCAGCTAGAAGAGCAAAGTCATTTGTTTAGCAGATCCTTTGTGCGTATTTTTCGAAGGAATATGATAGGAATGAGACAAATTTTCGCAGGTACTAGGGCAAAAATATTATATTCTATTCCATCAATATCAAAATAAATGATACAATCCCAAACACATAACAAATAAACACCTAGAATTCAAGATGTAGGCGATCTTGCCTAAACCCTAGCCCTCAGGTTCAAGACAATAGCCATACATCTTAACCCTAAACATATTAACCCCTATTCATACCCAAAAATAATAACTAACTGTGGAATTCTGAGAAGCTTTAAGTAGTGTTTCATAGGATAAACCACCAATATATCCAAGATATTATGGGAGATTTGATTGGAGATTAAATTGGAAACCTATTGATTTGTGTTTTTTCCTTTCCCCTTTTTGTTTCTTTATTTTATATTTCAGAATTATTTCTTTTCTAATTTAGATTAGATATATTTGGTAAGTTTGTAGTTTAGGAGATATTGGTTTACCTATTTATTTACCCTTCATGTGAATAATGAGATCAAGTAATTTTTCCACACAAAATCTGATTTTCTACATGGTATTAGAGCCTCGTTTGCTAGGTTCAGGTCAACTGCATAGTTAAGGCGTCGATTGCTCATTGCTTCGTCTGCCTCGAACGATACATAACCCTCGACTTAAGACGTCCACTGCTTCGTCTGTGTCGAATTAATATGGGATCGCTTCGAACAGTGTTGTCGTCTTCTTACGACGACATCTTTATCTCCGTCATTCAAATGAATCGACCTCGTTGTTTGGAAGCAATTGTCCGCTTTGTCTTTGACTACCATCTTCGCCTTTGGCTTCATCTGCTAGTCCTCTCTACTGGCTCCAGCTTGATTAACTGTTGATAGCAGCCACCTCAAATAGCTTCTAGAATCCCAACAATTGCCCTACAACCTTTTATGCCCTTCCCTACAACATGAATTCTCCTTGCAGGCCAGCTGCGTTCATCATTTGTCGGGATTATCTGCCGAAATCACCATGCAACCAATTATGAGGCAAACCAGAATTCCTCTGTCAGCTTATAGGCCATTCAGAATCACTTCTTCCTTGCTGCGGGTTATCTTCCCGCAGGTTGCAGACCCTCCTTCGCCGTTGCTTCTCCCCGCATGCCGATTCTCCCTCTTCCTGCAGGCTCTCTAGCTAGAATCTTCTTGTCGGAGCTCTTCCCTACCTATCCTTCCTCAATTCTTCCATGCAATATTCCTTTCAGGCGCCTTGCCGAATCTCTCTCGACAACTAGAGTAGCCACGGTTTAGATAGTAGCTAGAGCAACCCTACGAACTTTTCCCAGAGCTCCTTGTAGGCTTCGAGGTGCTTCTCTTAGCCTTTTTGCCTCTTCGGAGATCTAGTTGCTTCTTCAGAGCAAGAATATCTTTATGACTTTTCAGGCGTTCCTCTACTCTTGCGACAAGAAGCAGCCAAGAATCTTGTAGCTTGTGGTAGCTCAGAATTCTTCCAACTCTAACTGTGAATAGGGTTTATAACCGAATATGGAATGAAGACGTCCAGTTCTACTCTAGTCTCAGGGTTATCACATGCTCGTGTTCCCTCCAAGATCACAATCCACGTGGCAACTAAATTTTTTTGCAAAATGTTATAGGAGCTATAGGATCAGTGCCACAATTATCTGCCAACTCCATGTCATGTGTCTCTTCCATGTATTGCAACTCAATCTATAATCCCAACCCTGTGTTCTGCATTACCCTAAGTATAGTCTTCAGTGTCACTATGGTCTTGCACAAGTTAGGGTCACCACAAAGCACTACTACTTTGTCTCCTCCCGGAACTCAGTTGTTAGGTGTTTTTAATTCATCTTAGTCTTTTCTAAGGACTGAACCATTTCATATTCAATATCAATTTAGTGGTCCCTAAATCCAATGGAAGAAAAATTTTCATCATCTGAATATCTTGCAATATTAAAATCACCTAATTACAAAGTCCTCTGCTTTTCTCCGCCTGCTCTTGCAGATCGCTGGCTCCCAGCTGTTTCAAATTGAGACTGTATTGTGAGGTTCGGTCACCAAAGCAACCGATGATCCCGTCGTTGGCTTCCCAGCTAGATCCAGTCAAGACTATACCGTGAGGTTTCGTCAGAAATGCGACCAGTGATCTCATCATTGGCTTTCCTGCTAGCTCGAATCGCGACTGTATTGCGAGGTTCTTTCACAAAGGCGACACATCTACAATTTCAGAATGATATGAAGTGGAGCAATGACCTCGAATGCAAACGACAAAGATTTTTAGTGGAGCAGCAACCTCAAATGCTTTGATTCTAGTTTAATAGAAACAAGAAATTTTCACGAGAAGTAGGACAAAAATAATAGATTCTATTCCCCCGATAACAAAATAAATCGACACAATCTTGAATGCATAAAAGATAAACGATTACAATTCGAGAGGTAGGAGATCTATCTTAAACCCCTAAGATTCAAGTCAAGGTGCTGGTGTAACAGAGTGCTTGTTATTTAAATGATCCACCTAAATATTTCTTCTGAGATAATTAGAGCTTCACATATTTACATTTTCAAAATCTATTAGGTTAGGCTGCACCAAAGATGTGCTTGATGAAGCCGCTTGTAGTTTTTATGTATTTCAGTTTGCATGTCATGGAATTATACTGATCTTTTGTGGATAACATGTATGGTTATTTAAGACTATTTTTTTGTTATGAATTTGCTTGACGTGTTAGCAGATATTTGGATGTGTGAGGGAAAAAATGCTCATTTGTTTCTTTTAGGAATCTTTTTCACAGAGTTTTTTGGCACATTTTCTTTCTTTCACATTTATAATATATCATGCATATGATATTTGAGCACTGGCTTCTTGAAAAATTCCATAAATTGTAAGCGATGATGAGATGTCATTAGATATGTTTAATATCTCTAGTCAATACTTCTGACTTCACGTTTACTTTTATCTACATTTAATCCTCTTTTTTAGTAATGTTTAATTCCTTATATTTTTAATCAAAGTAATTTTTGTGTTATCTTGATGTCGTTCTTTTAGTTATTTTTCTTCCCATATCTTATAATCCAATGGCCTGTTTTGTGAACTTATTAAGTATAACAGTGAAATCATTCCATAAGTTCTCTATTTTGTGACTTTAAGGTTTGGCAGCTTTAGCTATGGTTATTCTTCGCCTCATTAGAAGCCATAGGTTTTCTCATTAGAGAAGATCCTTTAAATGCAAATGTTGAGATCATGCCAAGGAAGGGTATGATTATTGCAGTACAACTTTGCTTCAAGTTATCTAAAATAATAATAAAAAAGTAAAGTTAACAAAAATCATTATTATCATAGGGTATACCCAATTATTCAGCTCGGCTTCAGGATTTCTGATTCTCGATTTGCCAATGCTGATTACTGCATGTTGTGCCATACTTTTATTTTGCATGTTCATGTATCTAAATACTTCTTTTTACTTTTTTCATAGCCCTCTAACATTTCTTTTATCAGCCGCTCTGATTGGTGCATCTTTTGTCTTTCACCACAATTGTCCTATTGACTAAGTCTATTTTTCACTTTTTATTTTTATGGGATGCTACCACTGCCATTTATGTAATATAATCATTTATTAATCTTTTATTGCTAGCATTACCTCTCATCTATCATAGCTTCTCATTCTGCCCATGTTCAACTTAACTACCTATGGCTTCGTTACGTTCAAGACTCAGAGCTATACAATTTCGCTTGCCTACTTACATTTTATAAAATTTGAATTTATGTTTTCATCATATAGTTTTTTCATATAGCACTCTTAGTGTGAACATCTTTCTTTAGATAATGCCAGTGAAATATGATATACTATATCTAAGCATATTCGTTTTGGAACTAATTAAGATAGCCATAAGAAGATCAAAGTTGCGGAAAATAATAATCTGAATATTGGTTAGAAGAAATTGCAAAAGTGTGGGGAATTGTTTGAGCTTCATTGAGATTCTTTGACATCACTAGGCTTTTAGTCGGCGAATTCAATTATTGGAATATCATGTCAACTAGTCACTCAGTTAAATTAGCAGGCTTATATCGTGGAGGGATTTTCTTTCAACTACTTAATTAAGTTAGCAGGTTTGTACTTTGATCCGATTAGAAGAGTAGATGTTTTATATTCAACTTATTTTAAGAAATGCAGAGGTAGACCTAGGAAGATTTAGGCAGGTATAAAAATTGATCTTAATTTATTAGAACTAACTGAAGTTTGACACTGAATAGAACACAATGGAGAAAGAGGATTCATGTAGACAACCCCACTTAGTGGGATAAAGGTTTTGTTGTTGTTGTTGTTGTTGTTTGTTCCATAAAGGAAACCTTTTAAAGCATGTAATAATCACTCAAAACCACATTAAGTGTAATATGGAATGGTGGTAGAGATAAACATTCACTCTTAAGGTTTATTTGGGATGGCTGTAATTTTTTTTTGTAAATTTGATTGTAAAGCTGTTGTGGGAAAATAACTTTTTTTTTCTTAAAAAATTATTGTGGGTATTATAAATATATTTATATTTGAAAAATTGAATAGCAACTTTTTTACTATTACCGTACTTTAGGATATCTGGTTCTCAAAAGTTCTCATTCTCAAAAGTTCTCACCATGAAAACTTTTGAGAAACATAAAAAAGACAATAACCAAACAGATATGTGGTAGCAATTTTAAAAAGAAACTTGTGAGAAAACTACCTCAAATAGATCTTTTATGTTGGAACATATATGTCTGTATTTGACTCCTTTATCTTCTGTTTAAAGCCTTTGCTATTTTTGTTTATTTTTGAAAATTACATGATCTCATTTGTCTTATTGGCCCAAACAACAAACAAGCCAAGCCAATAATTTAAGTAAACAAAAAACTTCTAAACTATTCATTTATGTTGTAATATTTTGTTTTATGGCTTGAAAGAGCTTGGGTTAGCCGTTATTTTTTCATTATATTAATTATAATTCTGTATCCCGTGCATGAGACCAATTATTAGGTTTTTGTAGGCGTTTATGCTAGATTCTTACCTCTAGATATGGTTTGTGAGACTTGTTTTAATCTTGATTTGGAGTTTTAACAACTTATGTTCAAGCACTTTGTACTTTTACTTTTTACAAGTTTTCAGTGAATTTGAGCAGTTGCATATGAGATTAGAATTATTCTTGCTCACCGCGCTAGTCCCAAGCTCCCCGACGTGACGAGTTTAAGTTTTCTAGGGTGTTCAGTAATGGTGTCAAATCAAACGGCCATATGGTTGTACATAATATAAAATGTGTAATACAGGACAAACAGTAGGATGCATGTAGAACAGTAGCGAATAGAAACAGGAATAGTATAACATGTTGTACGGTACGGTAGCAGGTAGTATAACATGCTATACAGGAAGAACAGTAGCAGACAAAAACATAAATAATATAACATGTTGTACGGTACGGTAGCAGGTAGGAACATAAATGATATAACATACTGTACATGAAGAACAATAGCAGGTAGAAAACAAGATAATATGACATGCTATACATTATAGTAGCAGATATGAAAATAGGAAAATAAAATACTGAAAAAATGCAAAGCAAACCTGTACGCCCGTGAGATCCGATGTTCCTTAAGTATGGTTCCTTAAGTATGACAAGCCTAAATGCATCTCAAAAGCAAAGTCTGGAAGAAAACGTCATCCAAGAAATCCGAAGAAGAGTGTAACAACGACTCATGACGGAAAACTCGAGAGCAGAAAACTCGAGAGAATCAAAGAAAAAGACTCAAGTAAAAGAAAATCATCAAAAAACCTGAGGAAATCCCGAAAGAAATGAAAAGTAACACGAGTGCCCTGTTTCAAAGCTTCGATAAAACAAAAAAAAAGATTCGGATGAGGGGGACCGCAAGCACTCGTATGGGACTAGACTCGGCTGTATTTTTTCTCGAGGGTCCACAAAGGCTACTCGGGCACCCAAATGTATAGAACCCCCCACCCGGC